TTAATAATCATATTTAAAAACTAACAAACTTAAATTATTTAAGCAAAAAAAAAAAAAGAAGTAAAATTCTCTTCCTTATTTATACCATTTTCTCTCAATTAAACCAAATCTAATTTCAGCCCGACCCATGCAGATACCAACCCATAACCCGCCGCGACTTTTCCATATGCCTTCCCCACCCTGTATCGTTATGAACGAGAGACACAGCAGCTGAAGAAATCTCATCTCCGCGATTTCTCCAAAGCTTGCTCTCTCGCAGATTTAACTGAGACTTAACCTAACTTCAATCTGCCCATTACTCACAAAATTCGACTTCTTTCTACGCCCTGTAGCTCGCATTGTGTATGAATTTTGGGTAGTAATGGCGTCTACCATAGGAATTGTTTCGCCAATTGTCTATCGCACTAATTCTACGCAGAAATTGATCATTACTAATAAATTTTCACATGGTTTTTTCCTCAATAGTCTCGAGCCCTTGAAGAAAATCTGCGCTGTATCTCCCAATGGCTCTGTTTCTTGCTCTGCTTCTTCTTGGGTTAGTCCATTTCATTCCATCTCTTACCCCTTTATTGTTGTTTTTTACTTGTATTTGTTCTTGGGTTTCGATTTGTTTATGTTTTTATTGTTTATACTTCAAAATTTTTGAGACTGATTAATTTCCTATCCATTGTGAATAGAACCCTCTTTTTTTTTTTTTTTATGAAGTGCTTTTAATTGATATGCTCTGAATTTTTCGTTTTTTGTTATAAAATTTGACAAAACATAATGAACATGTAGATGATGACATTTTTCAATCACTTTGTATGGAGTTGAATTAAATTCTGTTTGATGACAAGGTATTACTGTAACTACCCTTGAGCTTCCTTTGTAATAATGTTACTAGGGCAATGATAAGTGCTGGGTTTCCATTGATTTGCACATAGTTTGATATGCTCAAGAATCCCAGGAAATAGTTGGCAAGTTTATCACGGGTGAAAGTTTATATTTACATAGAAATCCTGTGCCTTGTGCTCTGCAGGGTGTCACCAACGGTTAATTGTTTTATCATTTTTGGATGAGTTTTGAATGTGTATATATTAAGTGATAGTCATGAGATTTTAGTAGGCCTCTGCACTATTTGGGGATTTTTCTTTGGGTTTGTATTTGTACATCATATCCACTACTTAAGGAAAAAAAAGGAGGATATTCATAAACCCAAAATATCATTAGATTTCTATCTGGTTTATACATTTTATTTGCAAGAATATGGAATGCTTCATTTGAATTTTGAAGGATGCGCTTCTAATGTAGTTTGATCCACCATCATGATCCAGATTACTTCCTGTTTTGCCAAACCTCCTGCTTGAACATGCCAGCACAATAAATTGTAGCAACAGCCTGCCAAAACCAAAATTAGAGGAATCTAAATCCAAGAGGATTACAAACCAAAATTTACAAAAATGCCACCATCCTACGCAGATAATTACAAAAGTGCACAACGCCCTCCAATCAAAATGCCCCCAAATTCAAAAAAATTTCTTTTTCTCTCACAGAGGCATTTCATTTTGCTGATTCCCTGAGCCTTCCTTTATATTCTTCAGATATTAATAATGATATTGTCAAAGATTTTTCTCAAACATACTTAGTTCTAGTTTAAGAGCTTGCAAAGTAAGCATTATCATCAGCTTTGTTTGATGGGGACATGGTTGCTTGCAATGCTTTGGCAACTCAGCATCTCTAATTGTCGTTTTGGATGCATGTTTGTGCATCACATTAATTGCTCTCAAAACCAAAATTGTGCTTTTCCTTTTTCCTTTCTGTAATTTTGGGAATTTGGCAAATTTTGATAAAACCAAAAACCCAAAAAGGGTATTCCTTTCTATGATTCTATTAACTAGAATTATTTTCCTCAGTCAAGTTATGGACAAAATGTGTTCCTCTTATTGTGCTTTTTGAAGTTTGCTAGAAACCCATCATTCTGTTGTTTTACTAGTTTTCTGGATTATTTCTTCACAGCTAATTACTTGTGTTTTCTTGTGATTGAATTTTGTGTCTTTAGTCTTTACCAAAACGGAAGCAGTTCATTTTTTCATGCAACATATTTGCAATGGTTTGTGGATGTGGTGCACTATGAAATTTCACGAAAGCTTCGGGATTTTGTAACTTAATAAACCCTTGAAAGAAGTTGATTTGGGGCATAAATGTCTGAAATTATTGTGGTCTCTAATTGCAGCCTGAGTCAAATTCAGTGGAAAAGGTACATGGACAAAGAAGCAGTCTTGAATCTCTATTTTGTTATGATAAGCCTATCCCAGAGGAGAGGATTGAGAAGCCAGTGGGACTATCTTTGGCTGAAAAAGTAATTGGAGATAATCCACAATGCACCGAATGCCAGGTGAAAGGTGCAGTCCTCTGTGCCACTTGTTCTGGTTCGGGATTATATGTGGACTCAATATTGGAAAGCCAGGGCATCATTGTTAAAGTCCGTTGTCTAGGTAAAACTAATTCCTCTTTTGAGACTTTTTGTTCACAAATAATGCTGATGTGCATGGATGTTTAAGCATTACATGTTCATGTTATATTTGTATTCTCTGATAATCATTGGCTTAAAGGTTGGCATTTTTTACCTGGATATCTCCAATGTATTGAATCTATTGATTGCAACCTATGAGCATGTTATAGAGTGGTGTTCCATCACCAACAATTGTTGATTTGCCATTAGTTTAGATCTTAGTCATTGTTTCATGCTAGTTCTTGATTTAGCAGAAGTAAGCCTCAATCCCGATCTGGGTGAGCTTGACTTTGAGTATATTATAAATTCTTTCTCAAGAACAAAATCTTTCAGAATTTCTTTGATTCTGTAATCACAAGCATTTTGCTCTTGTATGAGAAAAGATTGCCATGATGAAATCCATAATGCAAAAAGAATGTTTTCTATTTTGACACATATTAGCTGGTGTAAATCTTGTGGCACTGAATTGATTACATATATTTGAAAGCCCTAGTATGTACGGAAAAATCTAGTCATTTCAAATGTTTGGGAAATTTCAAGTGGCTAGCAAATATTAGAACCATAATTGTTGGTTACTTTTTGGTGAGAGAGAGAAGCAATGTGGTTATGTGAATACAGTTTTCTTGACATTTAATTACATTGAAAATACAATTTTCTAACATTGTAATTCTGTTCAGGTTGTGGGGGCACTGGTAACATAATGTGTTCTGCATGTGGTGGCCGTGGTCATCTTGCATCCAAATAAGATATGTTAGCTCTAATTCTTTTCGTCCTTTGGATGGCTAGAATGTTGTAACATTTACACGTTCAAATGACATTTATTATTCAGTATCCTATGTAGTAACTTTTATAAATTCATAATTATAAGAAAAATGTGTAATTCGTCTGATTTGTGATTGAATTATAAAGGTGTTTCTCTGGTTTGCAATGCGGCAATGCCTTCAACATGTTCATTGGTCTGAGATTGCATTTAACTCAGCATTATTGAAAAAAATCTATCTGCCAATTGCATTTTGTCGTCTGATACTTGTTTCTCAGTTCTTTTGAAATATGGGCAAATCTTTGAGTACAATTCCACATCTTGAGGAGATATAAGCTGAAGAATTTATAGATCTTCAAACAGGGCTGCATTGAATAACCAAATATATTTTGTGAATTGTTGTTAACTTCTTTTGCTCTGAAAAATGAGACAATAATTTCCAACTTGAACTAAGTTCTTCAAGCTGGAAAAAATCTTGTATGATGGTTACCGACAAGACAGAATTTTCATTTACAACATTTTCTGGCTTCCCAACATGGTTCTTCTCCAGGTGATAGTTGCCCACAAAATCTTCTTTAGTTAGCTTACTGATGAATCCAGGAAACTTTGAAAAAAGGTCTGCTTCTTCCATAACTAGGGTCTGTTCCAATTTTGCTTCGATTAAGTCTCAGGCTTGATCTCGGAAGTTCTTCAAGCCGAACTGGGATAGCAGATTGAAATGTATGCTTTTCCGGTTCTCAGCATAAGCAACATACTAAGCTGAAACACATACTAGCCGTCATGCCATTCCTATCCGGCAGGCACTGAATGTTGGGCCTTCTAAGAGTGTAGTAGAAGTAAAATAAAACTTTTTCGAGATTTTTTGTTTTTTTGTTTTGCATTACATAATAATAAGAGATAATTCTCTCATATTTTTTAATTTACTTTTACTTTAACTACAAAGAGGTTATCACTGAATTTGTTGATAATAATTAAGAAAGATTAGCAATAAAAAATTTACATGTATGCCTTAGGGATTAAGAGAAAACCAAAATCTCTCAGTGTGCTAGTTAGAAAGAATTTTGATTCCTTTTCTCTTGCTAGTAAATTAGGAAAAATAAACTGTTAATTATCCTTGTTTTGTACAAAATTTAATTATTTTAAGCCCAGTAAATATTTGAGCTCAAGTATTTAAGACAAATTTAAGCATAAGAACCAATGCACTCAACTCGTTAACATTCTCATGCAGTATTAACGCTCATAGCATTATTCTATATAAGAATTAAAAGGTACATATCAAAATATTTCTATTATC